AAAAACAAATAAAAAAACATAGGCTTGAAATGAAAATAAAAAACTTAGAAACTAGGTTTTGCAACTTTTTGTGAAAAGAATTCTTTGCCTTTTATATGTCTTTTTGGGAGAAAAAGTTCACAAAGCTACAAACTGCAACTTGATTTTTTTACAAGTTTTCCATAAAACTTGCATCTCTGGATTTCTTGGCAGGAGTTTCTACTTCTGCTGCTGCGATTTCAACATATGTTCGTTTTAATAGCTTCACGTCTTCTTCTTCTATTAACTTATTTGAACATGCTTCTTCTGTAAAAGCTTGACTCAGCCGCTGTTCAAACATTTCTGGGTTTTTTTCAGGATGCTTGTAAGCGTTTTTCGAATTAAAATTGCTTCAAGAGAGCACTTTTAAAAAACAGATTTTTACCCGAATCGCCACCTTGAGAAGTTCTTGAGAAGTTAAATTTAAAGTTGAAATTGAAGTTGCAGTTGCAGGCGGAATTAAAGCTGTTCTTTCGCTTAGTTCTGAGTGCCATCGACTCATAAAACCTTTGTATCATTTGCAACCAGACATTTCATTTTTTAAACAAACACGTTTCATCATTTTCAATTAAATAGGCTCTCACTAAACTTTGAACTTGATCTAATCGTCTACCAAAGCCCCAATCGCCAAGCATCTGAAGAAGGTTATTGTCTCCTCAGTTTAAGGCTTCTCGTTTGTTTTATTTTTTGCCATTATAAGTTTAGTAAGTTTAATTCAATTACAGGTTTTAGAAATTGAAGAAACGAAGCACTTTTGTGGTTATTTTGTGTACTTTTGCACTTTAACTTCAACTGTATAAGTGCAAAATTACAAAATTAATTTACACCAAAAATGTGAAAACTTAAAAAACCCAAATGGCAAAAATTCAGTCAGTGTAAAAAATAAATAATAAAATAATTTTAACATAATAAAAAAAATCAATTAGAATAAAAAAATAATAAACAGAAAAAATAATAAAAATAACCTATTAAATTTTAATTATTATAGGGTGATTTTATTGTGTCCGGTTTAAGGTGAAAATTGAAAAATTATTTATTTCCCTCATAACTTTTTAACGAAGTAAGATTATGAAAATCTAAAACTATTTTTGAAATTAGCAGATAATTTCCAACAAAATAGCTTCCTTTGTGTTTTCATTGACTTTTTAAATTTTTCATGCTAAGAACCTAATTTCAAAAAAAAACCCAGCAAACACAACCAATCGGGACACGTATGGTTTTTAATTGGGAAACGGAGTTGGGTTGTAGACGAGTTTTTACAGAGGGTTCGACCAGGGTCCCAATCGGTAAAACCAATCACTAGTCAATTCTAGGTCGTTTAGGTTGAAAATTTGAATACTTAAAAAAATTTTATTACAAAGTGTTCAGGACTATTATACAGACAATATTATGAAAAGAACAAATTATTTGGTGAACGTCCTGATAAAAAAAAAAATTATGCCATCTTTAAAAAAATCAAGCATCAGTTACATATTCAAAAATTCAATAAAAAATATCTTGGCGTTCAAAAGATATAACCATTTAAAATAAAACTAAAAAAAAATTAAGTTTACTTTACATTAAAATATAGTGTAATACGCATGATATAATAAAGCCTAATATATATATATATATATATATATATATATATATATATATATATATATATATATATATATATATATATATATATATATATATATATATATATATATATATATATATATATATATGGTTTTAATCAAGTTATAAATTTTTAAAGGATTTTGTCAGCAAATTACTGAAAAAGTTGTAACATTATATATAAATATTTAAAACAATAATAATTAAGGAAATAAACAATTTTAATCTATCTATATTTCACAAATGCACAAGAGACTTGACTTTAGGAACACCTTGCCCCACTAAAAGTTAAAAAAATCAATTGTATTATTATTTGTGTGAAAATCATAAAGAAATGTTTGTTTGTTGGTAATTTATTCCAAAATATTTCAAAGTATAATAATTCTAAAACTCAATCAATAAAATTAGTTTATTTACAATTATTTTATTATTTTTTATATTTTGTAAACAACTGATTTTATTTTTATGCTGCGGTCCATTGGCTTGGCTGAAGGAAAATGCCCTTTAATTTTTGGAGCGAAAAGTCCTGTGGTTATTTAGTTTTAAAAACTTTTAGGTAAGTTTAATTCTTTTAAAACAATACATAAATGTATACTTAACAAATTTATATAGTATGGGAACCAATATAAAGTTATACATTATAAAGTTAAGAACTTGGTTCTTTTTCATCTATATCTAATTATAGATTTTTGTCAACGTTATCAACATTTAATCATATTTCATATAAGTCATTAATTTTCTCTATCACCGCTATAAACTTCTAACAAATTTGAACTTTTTCCGGGAGCCACAATATTTTCTTATTTTTCAATAAATTAATGAAATTGAACTAGTTAAGCAACCAGAAGTATAGATCAAGTAAATATGTTAAATAAGTTTGTTTCTCTGCTTTTTTTGCATGCATAGTGTTCACGATCAAATTTATAAGTTCTGTATTTAGATTTAGCTGCTTCTTCTCCCGTTAAACCAAGTAGAACTGGTGAATTAATAAAATTTTTCCCAGCATGTGCTAATACTTTGTGAATGGAAGCTGGGGCCTTGAACCAATTATATGTATCAAACAATTTCTTATACACTCTAAAAAAACTAATGCCAAAATAACAAAAAGTATAACCCCAGAATTGAGCAAATTTAACGCTTGTTATCCGTTATATTTAGCGTTATATTAGGCTTTATGTTTGCTACTATATTTTGCATTATATTTACTTAACTCTGGCGTTCAATTGGCGTTATGTTGAGAAAAAATAAACTAACCGTTCAACCGCTATATTTGGCGTTGCATTTATTTTACTAGTTCTATATTTACCAACGTAATATTAAAAATACAATAAAAAATGTTTTAAGGTTATAACTACTATACAAATTTATTTCATTTTATGCTATTTGACTATGCTAAAAAAAATTATGTAT